GCCTCTGCTTTGAGATGCACCCGAATCAGCGCTGTTTCATATAATAAATTTTTATACCTTTGCTTCGGCGATTTTGTCCTTTTTAAATTCTAAGCGTGAGCCGGTGTTTCTCACAACACTAAAAAAACCCCAAACCAAATCTTGCCTCTCATTCTAGGTGTTTATCACAACACTAAAGAAACCCCAAACCAAATCTTGCCTCTCATTCTGTGTCATGGCTTCTCTTTGGGTTTAATTGATAAATCATTAGAAAGAAGCCTCATTTCTGTGGGAAGAAACCTAATACTACTTGTCAAGACACTTTTCCAATTAGTGACTTTAAATAACGAGCTAACGCTGTGCTTTAATGGTGCTCTGGCCTGAAGCTGACACTTGGAGAGTGTGTTGGCTGGGAATACTGGGGTGTACTGGCTGCTGCCACATGAGGTGGGTCTCTTCCACCAGGGAAACAGTTTCAGCTTCCATCAGCATACTGGACATCCCCTACACCTTACATTCCTGCCTTTATCTAAACATACTCATACGTAATCACGCAAACTGGGCAGAATAGAAGAAAACATTTTTTAAACAACATTAAACTACAGATTTTTGCACAGATGACTGGCAAAGGGACAGTTTCTAAACTTAAACTGTGCCGCCCCCACCACAGCTAATTTTTTTCGTCGTTTCTACGGTACAAATGTCTTTATACTAATGTCTGCAGCCCAACTCCCAGCTGGTAGGGTGGAAAAGGAACATCAGACACTGTGTGCGTTGGACTAAAACTGAAGCAAAATAATGGTTTATGAGTTCTATACTAGGATGTTTCCTACCAGGGCAGGAAGCTCTTGCAGAATGAGTTGTGCTGCCTGCTTGGCTTATTCATCATCCACAGTTCTGAGTTTATGCCACTCAGTGACTACCCCCTTTTCCATTTCCCTTCCCTGTTGCATTAGATATAAATCAGTCAGTATCACTCATATAGCCCTTCTAACAAATCAGAGAGAAGAAAAATAGTCTGTCCTGCACACTACAAATAAATTTCCTTCCCCTAACGCTTCGACCTAATTGAGGCCAAATGGCTTTTCTCTTAAGTCAATGACAGAAGTCCCATTCCCTTCATTAAGACCAAAACCCCGTCCCTAGAAGAGATCTGGGTAGATTACGTTTCCAGAAACAGGCAGATCCTTGCCCAATAATGCTTCACACGTCACATAATCATAACCTAAAATTTGGTTTGCCTTCAGGTGGTGTTCTCAACGCAGAAGCCTGATAAAGAAGTGCCATCTGGTGGACAAAATCACTTTTTTTTTTTTTTTTTTTTCCCCTGTTCCACACCTAACTTGGCATACTAAAATTTCTCCTTCCAGCAAGACCTGAGCTACAGAAACCTCTAGGGAAGAGACCTGAATTAATTAATTTAAAATTTCTCTATCTATATGTAGTTCTACGTACAGACACGTTGTTTATTTTTTAAAAATTTGGAAGTAGTCAGGGTGTACTCCCATTGCTCTTTGCTACCACAACTCCAGCCGTCACAAAGATCGCTGACAGTTGTAGCAGGAGCATCTTCTGTGGTGGTAGGCATGCCAAATGTCAAAAATTAAAAGTCATGCGGTGTGAGTAGCTGGAAGCTCATCTTCCTGAGAAGGAATCCTTTCCTCCAACTAGCTGTCACCACTGTCAGCGGTGGAAGTAGTTTTTACCACTAGTGTTTCCCTCTAAGCTTCTGAAAAAGCCTGATTTTTAAGTTGTATATTGCTGCTAGGATCCATGGCACAGGGTTCAGAGGAAAGGGGAAAACCTGGACCTTCTGGATGATTTACACTTAATACCCACTCATGGGCTTGATTTTGTGAACTTAGCCGTAGTCAGGGTGTACTCCTATTGCTCTCTGCTACCACAACTCCAGCCGTCACAAAGATCGCTGACAGTTGTAGCAGGAGCATCTTCTGTGGTGGTAGGCATGCAGAATGTCAAAAATTAAAAGTCATGCGGTGTGAGTAGCTGGAAGCTCATCTTCCTGAGAAGGAATCCTTTCCTCCAACTAGCTGTCACCACTGTCAGCGGTGGAAGTAGTTTTTACCACTAGTGTTTCCCTCTAAGCTTCTGAAAAAGCCTGATTTTTAAGTTGTATATTGCTGCTAGGATCCATGGCACAGGGTTCAGAGGAAAGGGGAAAACCTGGACCTTCTGGATGATTTACACTTAATACCCACTCATGGGCTTGATTTTGTGAACTTAGCCAGGGGTGGGAACTACAGCAATCAATGGGATATAGATGCACGACGACTTACTGTATCTGGATCTGTTACACCAAACGAGATAAACCCTATTCATCACCAAGCCCATGAATGTTTGGGCCACAAACCTTGGTAGGAAGATGCAAGAAACTCCTCACTGGACATTTATAATACAATCTACCCCAAGAATGTTTCTTTCTAACGGTGACGACTGATAGATATCTCAAACGTGATGGCTGAAGTCCTTCTCTACAGCTCATATTTAAAGTATTTCTGACTCAAACCCTAGCTCCATTAAAAAGGAGATCCTGTTGACATTGACTGCACTCAATCACTAGATTAGTCTTCAACATGGATATTAGTGTCCTTCAGCATGGAAATTTCTCTGGTCTTCACCATATTTGGCAACACTATTACTATGTGGACATATAATATGCATAATATAGTTTCTAAAAGTGAATGAAAATAATATTTTAACATACATAACTACTAAATATCTGCATCCATACAGAAAACCTAGTGAAGTTGTACAGTGACTCATTTAGATCTTGGCCACTAGGCGGTAGTAGAAGATTAAGTTATGTAAAAATAACTAGTAATTTTGTATTCATTGTGTGGCAAACTTCAAAACACATGCCCGCTCCATAAGAAATTTTGTAGAACATTTTCATGCTTCTTTAGCAAATCAGCAAGACCCTTTGAACAAAAATATGTCTTGCAAGATTCCGCACGGGGTAAAATGCATTATTTGAAGCTGATGAACCACAAGGACAAAGGGTGCTTAAAACCCCCCATCTTTTTCCCTCACTAGAATACGATCAACTTATATCAATGCGATCAATCAAGATGATCCCACTGTGCCTTACACTGGAGCTGAACTAGGATCACAGAATAACACAATGGTTTGGGTCTAATAGGACACATTTAGGGTTTAGACGCATAAGAAAGGAAGATTATATGATTTACAAGATACAATTCGGAGTGCCTTTTGTGAACTCCCAGCTGCAACAGAGTTGGCCTGGTTCACTTCCCCTGCTGTGTTTGACTTCAGCAAGATCATGTTGCTCATGGTTGGTTGCCTTCACTGACTGCTAAAAATGTTACGCCAAAGTGAATTTGGGTAACAAAGATCATAGAATCATGGACTCATAGAATGGGTAGAAAAGCTAGGTATGGAGCGTTTTGGCTTTTTTTTTTTCACACAAATGAAACAATCAAATCTTTCTGCAATATCATCTGGGAGTCCTGAATTAATGATTTTTTAAAATCTTCATCTAATTTTCATTTATTCTACCAGGTTTGTATAGTTCCTCCAAAAATACGTGGGGCTATTGTTGATGGGGCTATTGTTGATTGTAGCACTGTACTGCAGTATCTCCTTTGGATTTATTTTTTATTGATGGGGGATGCAGGGAGATGACTGTGAAGAAAGCCTTTTTTAGATTTTCGTAATTTAAGAATATTTCCTCTGTCGGGAAGGGGAACACAGTGCACTATTAGGAAGACTGAAAAGTTTTCCTCTATTTTTACTTATTTTGCTAAGAGAAGACTAATTTGCCTTTGCAGTATATTTTCTGATTTTTTTTTTTTTTTTAATGATTGATAACATCCTTATCAATGTGCATTTTGTAGAGTGCTGTGTGGATTCAGAGTATTGTAAAATGAATTTTAAACCAAGACTGGAAACAAGCCACAAAGTCCAAAGTGAAACAGTAAGGTGTTATTTTAATCTCAGGAGTTTTTTTAGCCTGTTCCGCAGAGGAGCCAAAAGCTACATGAGATTGCGGTCTCACCCTTTTTGAAGAATCAATTCTAGAAATGTTCGTGTTCTGCCCTTTAAATACAAACAAATTCATGAAAGTGCATGCTCTTTAATTCTGAAGACTATATATCGGTATGCATAACCTAGCAAGCATGAAAAGTGTAATTATACTCCAACTAAAACTACCTCAGTCTAACAAAATCTTTCCCACAGATACTCATTTCTACTAGCTTATTTTTGACCTAAATTTGAACCATCCTTGATGGATGTTTGCAAAACCAACCAGGGTTCTGTCCATTTTTTTTTTTTTAGCACAATATTTTTGAACTGCGGGACATGATCCCTCAAGGAAAATGGAAAGACCCCCAGCACCTCTAGTAGCCCAGAATGAGATCATCATGGAAAAGATTTTTTTTCCATCTCTTTTCATCCATTTTAAGTCTGATGCAAGTCATGAATCCTCAAGACCCATTCCCTTTTTCTTTCCTATTATTTTTGGAGGAGGCTTCATGCCATCTACTCCTCTCTCTCTGCTGAACCGTAAGATGAAGATAAATACTGTGGTAAGTACTGTGAGGGAGGGTAAGTCTCAAAAAAAAAAAAAAGGCAAAAAGCTGTCCTTTGCTTTTCTGGTTGTCTCATGAAGACATTTCAATTAGCATAGGTCATGGTGTGAACAACAAACATGGTTCTCTTTGCTGTGTGATAGTATAGCTATTTTCCAGTTTTGTAGGTATTGATATATTACATAAAAAGGCTTGAGGTCCTTCCCATAATAATAACATTAAACTCTCGCATCTTAATATATTACCTTGAAAACTCAAAGAGTCAATAGTTATTTTAGGAGGCTATCCAAAGGTTAACCAGATAAATTTAAAGTTATGGTCGTAAATAATCCAAACAATGACCAGCCCTAGAAACAGATGGTGCTTCTGGAAGGGCCCAAACCATTTCCACCCTTAGTTCAATGTAAACCTCCTGTTTGGAGCTCTGCAGTTGAAGTCTTTTGTGCCTACCTTTAAATGCATCGTTTCTTCAAAGGTGAGATTTGTGACACAAGGCGTGAAGCTTCTTTAACCAGAAATAACGCCAAGCCCCTGCATGCATGATTGCCCGAAGAAACTTGGAGAGTTCTCCTGAAATCAGAGAGACTGTTTATGGAACTACACTCACACAAATTACAACCAAAAATAACAAACCCAGTCAGCCTTCGTTTCTACTACTATTTGCTTACCATTGGTAACTGTTAATGGCATCAAATTGTCCTAGTTTGACTTAGTAGTACAGATAAATTTTGATACCCAATTTTGATCTTTCCCTAGTTTTGTTCTAGGGCAGCTTCATCAACTTTGGTTACTGGATTTGGCAAAATCAGATGTTTGGTGCTTGAAAGACACCAAATTACTGAGGGTGAATGCTCTGCAACAGCCACCCGAGAGAAATGACTTGAAGAACAGAATTCTACAGGGGTTGGTTTCTTAGACAGCATGTGGGTTACCTGAACGAGGATGAACCCCATAAAGGAGCATGCAGATCAGGCAGTGGTGGTGTCCTCCAGCAGACCTACTCCCAGGCTCACATTTATAGGCTTTTTTTTTTTTTTTGCCAGTTTCTCCTGTTAGGGAAAAAAAAAAAAAAAGTGGGTGTAGGCTTAATGCCAGGATATGTTCACTAGGCAAGTTCTTGCCAAAAGCCCTCTTTACGGAACAAACAAAATCATTACATCATAATAATTTTAAAGAATTATGTGAAGTAAATGCAGGATATGCTCACTCCATGTAATTTATTAGTTCCTGTGCTTCATCAATCTTTCAGCCTCTTCTGCAACAGCGTATTTTTTATTTCCATGGTACGGAGATCTGCCATTCCAGAAGGAAGTAAAGTTATCCAAAGTGAGAAAAAATGTCTGGGAATTTATGAACTAGATACACGGAGACGTAAAAAATCATAAAAAGATTAAACCCAAAGAAGTGGTGCAATAATTACAACGCTGGGGCAGCATAAGGTAGGAATTAAAAGCACTTCCTCCTTTTTAAAAATATAGTGGAATAAAAATTTAAGAGTCAGTTGCAAAATCTTACTCTTGCTCTAAAGTGGTTGGTTATGGTTGTCCTTGATCTCATTCAAGAGCAAGGAATCAGCTGTATATATTTATTTGATTGGCTTGTACCCATTCCAGGATATTTATAACCATCGATAAAATATCTAAGTCAGCAGATGGAAATATTACATCCAGAATAATGCCTAATGAGTCACTGAAAAGAAGGGAAAAGTCTTTTTTGTACCCACTTATACAGTCAAAGTGACATAGCAACGTTTGTGACTCTAGAGACTAGATAATCTTTAATTCATGTAGCTACGGAGTTTCAGGACCATCTCTTGAATAAGTTAAAAGTAAATACCTTTCAGCACAAAGAAGTTAATATGTTTTACAGAACATGGGCAGGGGGTGGAACAGAGAAAGAGAGAGAGAAAGAAAGCATATGTGAAGGGAATAAATCTGTCTAGGTCCCTGGAGCACTCCGGAGGAGATAAGTTTTAAAAGCTCACATAAGAACAGCTTCCAAATATTTGTGTAAAAGGCCTCTGTCACTAAGGCATCTGAACGTTAAAACAATACGAAATAAATAAACCTTCACAATATTTTAAAAGAGGAGCAGCTGAGCTACAGGGACACTAAAAGCCTGAGTTCCCTTTCCCTTCGAGTAGGCTTATACCATTACAGAGCAATGTAGGAGGAGGCACTTCATGTTGGCAGCAAGATGGGTGGGAGAAGTGAGCAGCTCCCAGCTCGTGCTTGGCCCTGGTTCTCTTGGGGATGCTGCTGAGATTGCCAGAAATGGGACCCTGCGTTGTGTACGTGGAAGCCAGCGTGCTCCTCAACACCTGAGCTGCCGAGCGATGTTCCTCTGGTACCCCACGCCTGCTTACCAGCTTCTGTTGGCCAAGTATTGTCCATTGTTCTCTTCGTGGTTATCTTCTTATGAGTTAGTGATGCAGAATTACATTCCAGCTACAGCGTTAAATACTCATTGTGCCTTTGAAGCAACATCTCTAGATGAACACCGGGCTCATCTGGTGGCTGTATGGACAATGAGTTCCGCTGAGAATTGAATGAGGTGGATTTTCTCTATAAGAACTATTAACTCCCAAACGCTTCGGGGCAAAATGGGATTACTGTGTTTTACCACACATCTCAGAGCTTAACGAGGCATCTGTTGATGGGAGGATGAGTAATTTCTGCTACAGGAGTGACCTTGGTCCTGGGAGCTGGTCTTGAGAGAGCACGTGGCCTGGTTTGCCTGAGTTGGCCTTCAAAAAAGCCTGTTAATTCTCCTGTGCTTTGAGGTTCTCTTCTTCCTGACAAGGTACTCAGCACTGCTGATCCAGAGAAGTGAATTTTAGTTACTGATGATTGTTTTCCTTTGCAAGGTTACTTATATATAGATATGTTTATACATGAATTAAAAAACATATATGTATTTATAAAAAGATATAAATCTGGAGAATTATAGATACATATCTGTTTCTCCAGTGGCCAAAGCAGAAGAAACAGGAAGAAGAAATAATGGAAGAAGCACACAAACGCCAAAGGATGATGAAAGATCGGTTTCTGGTTTACCGAAGGTCAACTTTATCTTGATGACAGTGAAGAATTTGCAGTAGCAGGAAACATCAGGCTTTTGTTTCATTGAATGAGTTCAAAGATTTTAAATAGCACATTTTCCTCGATATTCTTCCAACACTGAGTTAAGCCTGACAGTAAGGCCAGTAGAAGAGTATTAGCATTTCTATGTAGGAAGAGAACTGGTGCTACTTTCAACCTTATCTTTCCACTACCCCTTCTCTAAGCAGGAGCAGCTTAGAGAGTTTTTAATATCAGCACATCACTCCTGCACCTCCCTAACTGTTATTATTACTGAAAGTATTTAATTCTTGCTACTACGTCCACACAAGATGTGAAAGTGACTGTTCTTTTCATTAAAATGGAAAAAATGGATCGAAGACCAAGCAGGGACAGTTTCTGCCAAGTAGGATGGCTTAAAATATGTTAATCAGGCTTGTTTGCAAAAAATTATTCCAGCTTTAATCCCAAACTAGTTTCAGTGGTGGTTTTTTCCCAAACAGTTGTGCCAGTATTCTCACAAACAATCTTATGCATCAATCCTGTTTTCTGATGAGCAATGACCATAGACCTGTCTCAAAGGTATTTTGAGTTCTTCTCCTCCTTATATATATTTCTATCACCTAAACAAGCACTATATACTGTGATAGAGGTGTCAAGTTAGTATGAGCATTTACAGATGCAACCACTACAGCTACCTCACCATTATCTTTGGTTTAAAAAAAATATAAAGAAAGACCCACTTGAAAATTAGACCAGAAAAAAATTGTCTTCTAATGTAGCTTCATTAATTCAATGGAATTACACTGAAATTGATAAAGTTGTTATACAATTAGAACAGAAACCACACTTCCCGTACTTCTGCTGGTGTCAGAGTTACAGCTGAAACAATTACTGCATCAGACGATTTTTAAGTTCCACAAAAGCTGTGCTTACTGATTCAGCACTACATTTTCAGTTTACAAATCCAGTGTCAGAAATCAATGGCATAATGTTCTTATAGTAATCTAGGGAAAAGCCTTTTCTAAACCTAATGTACATCGTATTTATTCCTAAAATCTCATCAGCTAATCCCTTAGAAATAAACTGTTGTGCTATAAATGTCATGCGTTTTCCTGCCTGTGTTTTCAATTCAAATGAATGCTTCCTTCTCTGAATTCTCCCACAGAGTATCTTTAACCTCTCTGGAGCTAAAGAAAAAGTGTTAATCTTCCAGGAAGATGGAAGACTCTTACGTAGAGTTCATAATGGAGAGTACATGCTCTCCATTGTGTTACTCACCTTCCACTGGGGTGCTGGGGAGCCTGGCTGCTAGATGATGTCCAGTTGCCTGTGATGTTCGCAAGCCACCCTAAACCCTACAAAATTAATCTGGCATGGATCCTATTTACATAGTTCAGTGGAGTTTGGCTTTGTTTACACGAGATTCGACAGAAAACCCCAATTAAAAAATAGGTATGTCTCCTTTGTCGCACTGCTGTTCAGAACGGAATGGGTAAGCATTAACACTAGTATCATTTTAACCCAAATGACTAAAAATATCTTTAAAATACGTGTATAGCATGCACAAGCACTCGCCCTAGCTGTTAAGCTACTGTGACTCTCAGGAAGGCAGCACCTACCTCAACATATCAGATGATTTTTCCATCAAGGCTGCTATTTTTCGCTTGCAAGAAGTAAATACTCAATGTCCCAGAGAAAAGTAAGAAATCCCACTGGACTAATAGGGTGTAGAAACAGAAGAAGACAGCAGACTGATGCTGAAATTTGACTACCTTTCTAAGTGTGCTTAACTCTGTAATTACAGACAATTTGATTGATTAATTCTTCTGAAAATGTAGTTATACAGCTTAGCCACTGAGCTCCCCTTGAGAACAATCTCACTGAGATTTTCTCGCAAACGGTGAAGACGATCTACCATTCCTTTTGTCACCTATCAACTGCAGAAATAAATTCAGAATCAGGTGCTAAAACTTTATTCCTTGATTAACAGGCATTCAAATCCAGAGTTTTGGTTTGGGCACCTCTCTAAACAGCAAAGTTATTCAAACAACTAGTATCCCACTGGAGAGTGGTCAGCGCAATAACTGTGTTGAGTAACGGGGCATCAAAGAGCTCCTTCATTGTCCACCAGCAGCTGCTTTTAAAAACCATTTTGCATCATGGATATAAAACCCTACAGGAACCAATGGGAGTGGAAGATTTAGTGCAAGAAATCTTAGTTTTCGTTGCTTGACAGTAAAAGGGCACTTGGCACTAATAATTTTCCTAATCGCTTCACTTGCCAGTTGTGGTGTGTTACAAAACTAACCTACCCAGAGAGGGATTGCCAAAATTAACAAACTACGATATTGCTCCCTATTGAAAGAGAGAATTGAAACTCCATTTGCAGGAGAAGTTCAGACAATTAAAATGTGCATTCCGGACAGGAACACATTAGCAGTGCTTCTTTGTGCTAGCTTAGAAGCCTATCTTTTAAAATAAATTATGTATCCTTCAGAGGAGTCAGTTCTGAACCTTGTTCCATTTTTAAATTCCCCTCTATCAGGCAGCTCAGAAGCCCGAATGCTCTCATTTCAGATTTGGCCAAAAATAATGAAAATACAACAGATAAAATAAAGCTCAGTGGTATATTTGAGTATAAAATGGCCTCGTATAAAATGAGGTCAGCTTGGCTTATGTTATAGTCGGAGCATAAGTGAACATGCTGAACTTTTTTAGTTGTTCTTTTTGCATGCTGTTCTTTATATAGTATGAAAGGCATTTATGATATATATTGTCATTTCAAGCATTGTTGCCAAGCAGTTTCTTAGACTTTTCATAAATTCAAAGGAACTTTATAACAGTTCAGCACATTTAATAAACACACTTTATATGGAAATAACTTTTTGGATAGTAGCAAGATACAGTTTATCTTAGAAAGTTCTGCTTTAGCTTTGCAAAAGCAGGCTAATCATAATCTGATTTAAGACCTTATGCTAACGATAACTT